GTCCTCTGATCAAGTCTCACATTCATATGACTTTTAGTTCTGGAGATATTCAGTGTAATAGCCGTAGTGGATAAAAAAACGCCCTGTAGATTCAATGAGATTAGTATCTACTGAAGGAGTTGTACTCTGAATGAATTGATTCGTACTTGTTGTAGCCCTATCAGCGATTCTACTAGCCTCGATATATTCATGAATGGACTTTGGGTTTTGCAAAGTTATTCCATAACAAACTGATGGAAGTAATTTTTCTCTAATCATCCCGATAATAACGGATTCAGGCATTTTCTCATCTATCTTCTGACACAAATCGATTATTTCGTAGATGCAATTTGCTGATGACTGACCTGGTTTCTGTTTCAATTGAGAGAGTCTTTGTGAGAGATGAGTCCGATAATCAACCGAACATAAGCCCTGAATTAATTTAGTTTTTAACAGTAAATAAGTTGATGGTTTATCGCTAGGACCGAAACGACCGAATGTGAAATCATACCATCTCCTAGCATTACCCTGAAGATAAGTGGGAAGAGCCCTAAACATATCGACGTGTGTCCATCCTGATGATTCGGCTGAAGATTCAAATCTAAGTACCCATTCTATAATGTCTTCTCCATCTACTCCATTGAAAGATATAATATTTATTGGTATAGTTGGGAGACTGGTGGAGTTGACATTAATTTGATTTCTATTTTCTGGTGGAGTTGAAGGTTCTGGATTCATGACTATTTGAATTTTAAACTAACTGAGAGATTTGCTAAGATGAATTGAAATTTGAACCAGAGATTCTACACTGAATCATATGGTTAATACGAGAAAGGAAAATTCAACCAGAATCTCTTCACTGAGATATATGATTATATGACAGATAAAAACTACTAACCAGAGCCTCTTCACTGAGTCATGTGGTTAAAAAGAAAAGGAAATGAAAAGAAAGGTGTTTTTTTACCGTTAGGTTGATTTGAGGTTTGAATGGAGAGCCAAGGATCCAATTTATTAATAACGAAGAAAATTACCAAGAGATGGAACCATCAATGACCCTTCCTCATCGTGGGCTCCATTGTAACAGGATCGATTTCGAGATGAACAATTTATTGAACAATTGAACTTAGTTTAGACTTAGAACAAAACTTTTATTCGAACAACTTTAAACTTAGTCGCAAACTTTTATAATTTTACGTGAATTATATAATTTTGTTGATTAACTTGATTGTTGATTGGATAAGTTTAGTCGAAGATATAAAGAGAGAGAAAAAGAGAGAGAGAAAGAAAGAAAGAGAGAGAGAAAGTCAACTTCTTCACTGAAGTTGTTCTTTTTCTAGTCGAGGATTGAAACTTAATGATAATTTTGATTTTCTGATTTTTCTTTTATACATTTTTTTGTAAGAAAAGAAAGAGAAAAATAAAGAGAGATGATAAATTTTTATCATCATCATCAATTAACTTTTATTGTTTTCATGGTAAAAACCAAACGCTAACCTAACGATTATTACTTCCTTTATTACGGGAAGTAATAATCGTTTAATAGTAATAAATTTTATTACAATGATGTTCTCAGTAGGTGTTGGTAGACAAGTTAATAATGATCGTCCTCTACATTTGTGATAATTTTATCGAGAATGAAGATAAAAACGTTTTTTACATGATGTACATTGTTTACTTTCTTTTTTTGTTTTTTTAATTGGTCTTTGATTTGTTGAAATGAAATCCCATTTTTTACAATTGTCTATACACGGACAGTTGTGTGATAAATAGTTTCCTAAATTGATATCTTGGTAACTGCCACAAGGACATTTGAAATCCTGAATAATGATAAATAAATTATTAACTAACTAGAAATGACTTAAAAATTAACTCACCATTCTAAAGCCGATCTCCAGATGGGACTGGGAAGTTTCACTCTTGCTCACTTTTTTTATACCCGAGAAGTAGAGAAAGACATGCGCATTGATGAAAAAATTTTAATTATGATGATTAAGTTTTTATAAAATTTACATGAAATTTTTCAAAAATATCCTGTTGCTTTTTTAACATTTCAGCAGATAATGTGACCTCTTCTTGGAATACGATTTTCGCCCATGGAAACATTTGTGGACCTTCATGGTCAGTGGAAATTTTGGACGATAATTTCTCAGCTTGACGTCTCCCTTCACAGTCCAAAAGTTTCATGGTTTTTTTGTTTCGACCATGATGAGGTATTGCAGCGAAATGTTGAGCCAAATTTTTCATGTTATTCATCGATCGATCGCAATACAGACATTTGAATAATACTGGATGTTGCAAAAGAGTAGCTTCTCGTTCATCCTCAATTTCGGTGATCTCTCTCAATTCATGCTTTTCCACATATTTCCAGAAATCCTCTTTAGTAACTTCTCTCCCTGATTTTCTATCGAAATTTACAATGGTATCGGCATAATGAACTGCTTGCTCATATTTCTCAAGAGCGACAACTTTATCATCGTCTTCAAAATAATAAATCTCATTTTCGCTGGGGTACTGAACAAGATGTGCTTTGATTCTAACATGCTGCTTTAGTTGTTGTTTTTGTGCAGCAGTCAGCTTGATTGGTGCTGTTGATGTGGTTGATGACGTGCTTGATTCTGATGAATCACGTGAAACGGATGGAGGAAGACGATCTTCTGAGCGAGATGGTCTTGCTGTTGATGGGATGGGATCTGTATTTGTAGTTTTAGAAACCTTAGCAACTAAACGGGAAGGTCTTGGAGATGGTGGTCTTAATCTTCTTTGAGCAGTACTTTTTTGCAGTTAGAGTAGAAGTGGGAGCTTTTTGCGATGGTTTACCTACTTCTTTAACTTTAAATGGTTGTGAGATGATCAGATCAAATAAGTTCAAAAGTTAAAATGGATAGATTAGGTTGGCTGCAGTGATGAAAGATTTGATTGGGTATGAATAATAGATAAGATATGACAATCTTAAGATAAGATAAGATGCATAGATAAGATAAAATAAGATAAGATAAGCTCTTTCTCTTATCTTATCCATTTATCTTATCTAATCTTATCTTATCTTGCGAAAATCTTATTTCATGATAATCTTATCTCAAGATAAGATAAGATTATTTAATCTTGAGATGCAGTTATCTTATCTTATCTCATGATAATCTTATCTGAAGATAACTTTATCTCAAGATTAGATAAGATCATCAAAGGGAAGATTATCAAAGATAAGATTATCTAATCTTGAGATCATATAAATTAACTTTCAGATAAACATGCACAAAACTTACTTTATTGGTGTTAATGCTGTTGTTGCTTTAGTTAATGATGATTGGTATTGATGTTGTTGTTGCTGTTGTTTTGTTGTTATTGTTTTTGTTGTTGCTTTTTTAAAATACACTACACACTGTATATATTTTGTTATTGTTTTTGTTATTTTTGTTGTTATTGTTTTTTGTTGCTGTTTTTAACATACACTACACACTGTATATATTTTGTTATTGTTTTTTAATATATAACGTATATAATATATTTAACTGTATATAATGTTGTTGTTGTTTTTTAAATTTTAGTCTATACATGCACTGTGCAAAGGATAATGTATAAATGAGGATCATTTGATCTTCATTAATCTTTTATAAAGAAAAAATTTTTGCAATTAATAATTAGGGAGAGAGGGAAAGAAATTAAATTTTGGATTGAGAGAGAGATAGAGGAAAAAAATTAATGAGACGGAGAGAGATAAATAGGGAAAAGGTAATTTAGGATGGGATGGAGAGAGAGAGAGGAAAAATGAGGTTGGGTAAGAGAGAGGGAAAGGTAATTAAGATGAAATGGAGAGAGAGAGAGGAAAAAATCATTAGCATTAAGAAAGGGGGAAGGGAATAGATCAGGAGAGAGAAAGAAAGAGAAAGGAAAGGTAAAGGGGAAGGGACAAAGTCAATTTGTGCCAGAGGCGGATGCTTTGCCCCTACTGTTGAGACTTTGTGTATTTAAAAGGGCACTAATGAGAAGCCCAAATATATATATTTCTTTCTGATCTGATTCATACTTTTCGAGAAAATCGAGTTCGAAGTTAAAACTTCAGGTCTATTTTTCTCAGCAACGACATGTTTTCAGATTATGAAATTTTAAATTGAATGACAACTTTTGATGCTCTTTTTATCAAGCATATTTTTCTTATAAGAAAATTATCCCAAGAGCCTCCGGCCACAGTTCCGTTGTATTGTAACAAATGAACCTTGATTAAATTGAATGACAACTTTTGATGTTCTTTCAGAAAACATTTATTAAAATAACATTAAAGTATTGATACTGGGACTAATCAATTTAAATTCTTAATTAAAAAGTCCAATTTTTACACATCGTTCTCAATTTCTCTTCTCTTTTCCCATTGAAAAAGTGCAATCAGCGCCATCTGATCCAAATGTTTTGCAACTTCTCTTTTCCTCGTAGAGCTGAAGTCTCTTCTTTACTCTTTGCTATTAATACTTGTTAACCAAATAAATCCAATTCTAAAACCTTGAGCTCCATCTAACGGTACCAAAAACATTTATTTTTATCTTCATACTTCATAGGCTTAGAACTATTTTCTTGTTCAAATCAATCGGTAAATAAACTGATTTCTGAGAGTTGAACATATGGAATCAGAACAATCAATATATTAACAAGCGTAAAAATCAACTAAAAGAACTAGAACTAACTTTATCTTCAATGCGAATTAAATTATGACAATTGATTAGATGAGTGAAAGAAAATGGAAAAAAGTTTATCAATCACAATCAAAATTGTGCATTACTATCAATACAAACCTTTATTCAAGGCTCGGGTAAGAGTAGAAAAACTTTAACAATTAATTTTATTAAATTAATAGAAAAATGTAATTTAAATCAAGCTCATAACAATAGGCTAACCGTGAGTGATTGCCTCACGAAAGGTTTTTCAAATGAAAAAAAACTAATTTCCAAAAGCATGATTATCACATCGACTGTCAATTGTTACAGTTCTGATAATCAACAATTTGAGCATAATAACAATTCAATTAAATATAGAGTGTATTTTGTTTTTATTGTTATGATGATTAAAACACAATGATAATGATTGTAAATTTTGAAGATGATGACTGACCCAAAATGATTGTGAAATTTGATTATGACAATACTATTAATAAAGATAATCACTGATTATCATCATTGGTTATACACTTGAATCAGAATTAAGTGAAGAGTTTAGTTTATTGTCCAGTTAATTGTAGTTGAAGGTCCAGAACTTTTTTTTTATTTTCACTATCTGTGTGAATTTCCTGAGTCTCCAGTGGCCATTTATCAGGCACTTGAAATTCCATTGAGATGAACTAATAACAAGTATTATCATTATGTCCTCAAATGGCGAGAGTTAACTAAATGTAAAATAGACAATACAACCAATCATTAAAAATAATATTAATAGATGATAATGGATCAGGATGTTAGCAATGATTATTTAAAGTGACCAATGAAAATGTTCAATAGAAGATGAAATATTATCGTAATCAAGTTAATTCAGTTACATGAAAAAAGAGAGAGAAGGTTAATTCTCATTATCGGTTCACTCGAAATGTATTAATTATTTTACTAACCTTGATAATGCATATTCCTCTTAAGTGATGGACATTCAGTTCCCTTTATGAGTATATTTGGTAGGTGGACATCGTCCGAAAATGGTTGAGAGATAATTGATATTTAGGGTGAGAGAAGGAAAAAAATATTATCAATGAAAACATGGAATTAGAGTGAATTCTGATTAAAGGATCGAAATGAATTTCTAAGTGTAACAATTAATAGTTTTCTATGGTTCGAATCATCAGTTTATCGTTTTATCTTAGGAATATCATTAATATTAGATTATTGGAATGAATCAAAATTTTCCATTGAAAATTTTGAACAAATTGTTTCTAAATTAGTTTGACCTTTCTAATGTCCAGTAAATACGGAAACGTATTAGTTTCTGAGTTGAATGTTTCATGAAATTCATTTGAAATGTTACATTTAGTACAATATTTTCATGATATCATTTCTTGCGAGAAGAAAATGAAACATTCATTCATGGTAATGATTCATTTCATTTTATTCACATTATAAAATACATGATAGAGAAAATGTTATTGATTCCATCAATTGAATTTCCAAATTGTGAATTTTGATTCGTCATTTTTTCTACTTCTTCTCTCATTCAACTTTTTTCACTAATTCATATTGATTAATTCACTGAGCACTTGTGAAAATCTTTTCTTTCATGATAACTATCAACTCATCAAAAGTATATTATGTTGATAGTTACGAGATGATGGGAAAAGATCAGTAGAGATAATAGTACTTGGAATATACTGAAGTTGAGAAGAAAAAAAGAAACAGTTGAAACTTTTTCTTCAGATAAATTTAACCATAAATAAGGATAAAATCTCATAAACTCTTTGGAAACTCATGGAAAATTGTAGCAGAGAAGTTGAGAAAAGGATAAAGGAAAATATCATCAGGATAAGATAGAGAAGCTGAAAAAATAACACGATAAAAAAATCCTGAATAATGACAACTTCAAACATAATCATCAGCATCATAATCAACATCATGATCGATAAGATCAAATCTGATCAAATCTCTACATCTTCAATATGCTATTCTTATTATATGACAATATATTCATACCACACAAACAGTTACACCCCACCCGAGTTCACTTCCTCTCCATCCTCATCTGATTGTGATTCTAGAGAAATTTCAATTCATCATATTTCATGATCTTTTCCATGTTCAATCCTTTGAATGAGAGATAGAGAGAGAGAGAGAAAGAGAGAGGGAATCAAAATATTCCCATTGATTGGTTGGAGGAGACGAAAACAATTTCTATTCAAATGTAATCTAATCAACAATTGATTACCTGTTTCCGTTTAAAATCAATATTGGTCCGAACCACTCGATGATTAATCTGTGTAGTGTGACGGAAATTGTTTCCCAATGGAGCCTTGGGTTTATCTGCATCACCTTGCATCATTTTCCGAAGTGAAAAAAACTATATGATGGGAAAAAAATGAAATTAACTTGTGATAATTGATTGAAAATTGACTATTAATTGTATCAATCGAGTTTTCTAGTTGCCCAAACAATTATTATGGTAGTAAATTCAAATCTAATAAGATGATTGAATAAAAATTTATCATCATTTTGAAATATCTATTGAAATTATATTACATTTCTGATGATCAAATTATTATCAACATTTATTAGTAATGATTCAATTTTTTTCTGCATATATATTAACCAGTTACCTTTTCAACACATTCATCATCATTCTCATCATTATTATTACTTTCATTGTTATTGTATGAATATCATGAGATGTAATATCATTGGAAGGTAATAAAATCAATCATTTGCCGATAAATTTACAGCTCTTCAGTTTATCACCAGTTATTCAGAGTAAAATGTAAATATAGTAGAACTTTATTCAAGCTAATAATTCAAATCGATTGATAGAGAGAGAGAGAGAGAGAGAGAGAGAGAGAGAGAGAGAGAGAGAGAGAGAGAGAGAGAGAGAGAGAGAGAGAGAGAGAGAGAGAGAGAGAGAGAGAGAGAGTAATGATGAGACATAAAATGAGAGATGAGTGAAGATGAGGATGAAAAGAAGAGTATAAAAAAGATACTTTAGATTAAGAATAATGGTAAGGTGTAAATGTCTGTATTCTTTTTTTATTATAAGCATTTTCTTGTCTAAATTCCGAGAATTCATCCGATGATAATGCTTTTTCAACGAAAATAATTTCCCAATATGAGCGTAGATACATGTAATATATTGGTCAGATTCTGTCTCCTTGGACATATTATCTTTTACCTCTCTCAATACATAAATCATAAATCTCTGAGATTTTGTAAATTATAATAACTCACAAAGACGAAATTTACTACAGGATAATTAACTAGAAAACGGAAGCTTAAATTTACTATCAAAAGGCCACAATTTCATCTGTAACTACTCATTTTCGATGAGTAAGTTAATCTCATGAGAGTAGTTGAAAAAATTGATTTCATTTTCAGTTCGATCGTCTTTTTCAATCCAAACTTAATGTCCATTGATACAGGTAAAGGTATCATGATGCTTACCTGTTGCTTTGTCATGAAAATAGGACTATTCATGACAATCCATGTAACAGTTTCAGAACAGGCAGGAACCGTCATTGAACCTTCATAAGTTATATAAGTTTCTAACTGTGGTATCAACTCTCTAATAGAAAGTGATTTAACTGTAGTATTTTGACCTAATAAGAGGGAGAAGAAAATATTAGAACTTCAATTAAAGTTATTAGAATAAAAAATCACTAATAATATTATTCTAAGTTAATTCGAACCATTGAATTGATGCTTAACTTATCTGGATAATTTCATGGAAACTCAACATCAATTGAATGATTTTTCTCGCTCAATATCTCAAAGAAAACAACATGATTCCAACCAATTGAACCATGTTCACTATCAAATATACACTTAGCTGATGAATATGAATCATGATCATGAAACATGAGGTAATAATAGATAGAGGGAAACAATAGTAAACCAATTGATCAATTATGACATTGATAACAAGTCTACAATTCTGCTACAATATCTACATGTATTTATGAATAAAAACTCAACAACTTTAACATGATTGTTATTTTATTGTTTATCATGATTCATGAGTATTTATAACTGTAAACATTTTGCAAGATATGCAAAAGTAACTGAGAACTCAAGTAAAAGGTTGAATAACAATAATATCTTTTAAAAACTCAGCATCATGAATAAAATTTTCAGAATATTTCCTCTCATTGTTTCCTTTGTTTTCATCGTTTCAATCTAAGTGTTCAACTAATGATTAAGTATTAGTTATTCAGGTAATCTAATCAAAGTGAGCGTAAATTGTTATTGTTTCATTTTCACCATGAAATCTGAATAAATACCATGATTATATCAATTAGTTTACACTTGTAAAGTTTTAAAATCTTACGAATTTTTTTTCAAAATCATTTAGTTTGATTTCTCATCTCATAAACTAACAATTTAAGTTCCTATGTAAATAATAACCTATTAATCTGAATAATAATAGGTTAACATATTATAACAATTTATTAATTTCTCTGGAAACTCAAATATCAAATTTAGAAGCAGTTATATTGATATTAGAGAATCAACCTAATGAGCATTAGGGTGAATGCTTTTTTTTTAATAAATCCATGGGTAGAAAACAATGTAAACAGATTGAGTTTTTTTTTCTTCATCATTAGATATTGAGCTTAATCAGCAAGAAATGAAATTCTAGAAAATGAGCTTCATTTGTATCGATCTCTAACTTTAATCGAAACCGAAGCTCCCTTGTTGTTGTGCGTAATTAAATCAATTGAAACTTACCTTTAAATCGTATAAGATGAACCATGCTGGTTAAATGTCGAAGCTCAAGATTAGGATTATCACCAATCTGTAGGAATGGATAAACAATTTTGATAAATGATAAAGTTAATGATAGAAGAGTGAAAGATAAGATTATCAAATTATCTCCACCAATAACCAATCGATTGGTTATTCTGACAGTTAATCCAAGATAATTACGATACTTTCGATCATTAATCAAGATATTGACCATTCACTCTGCTATTAGATAAAGATTAAGTTGATTGTCAATCGATTATCAACAATTAACTTATCATTTATCTTCAATTTTCACTCAGAAATTCAAGATTATCCATAATGATTAACTTAGCCACATTGAATTGATCATCATGATCACCTAATGAAGCAATCAAAAAGTCCTCAAACAATCAAGGTAATTATAATTATCTTTTCTAATCCATCTCAATGAGTATTCTTTGTTTTTTTAATCAGTTAATGATTCAACTGGGTTGGTCTCTATCTTGTTGTTGGATAATTTAAATCAAAGATTATCACCAATGATTAGAAATGATTAGTTGTCTAATTTAATTGTAATCATTGATCTAATCAGATGAACTACAACCATGAACATGGTCATTGGTTATGAGTTATGGTAATTGGTATGTTTCAGAGCAGAATGAAAATTACCATGAAATGAGTGAAATGTTATTGATGTTTCCCATGAATTATTTAGTGATTTACTAACATGTAGGTTTAATGTGTATATGAAAAAAAGTTCACAATCTGGTTAATCTGAAAGTTTTTAGATTACATGAAATCCTAATGAAATTATTGCAGATAATTTGATTTAAATTGGGGGAAGCTTATGGTAAATTTCAATGGGTTTTAATTAGGTTACGATTAGATTGCTAAGCAAAGTTAATTAATGAACATTTAATCATGTAAATAGCTCATGACTCGGATTTCATTGTTAAGAGAATTCAATGAATGAGTTAATTGAATACAAATCAAGATTCTTTGTTGTTGTTATCATGAAATGAGATAAAGTTATTGTTACAATTATCTCATTAGTTTTGTATACAAAGTTAACATGAATTATTGTTGTTTATCTGAAATAATATTCACTTGAATTTATGATTCTTTCTGATATTTCATGATCGAAGATATATTAATACATATAGAGTGTTCTTTGTCCATGAGAACCATGATTAGCTTTTGTTCTCATGGTTGTTACGATTTTTGATGGAAAAAAAATGGAGAATCAAGTTTGAACTTACCTGTATTAGAACTGATATTCCAACGAGACCATTTGTTTTTCTTGAAGCCTCACTCGAGTTTCGATAAAGGTCCGAATTATATCCAATTATTTGAAGCTTAAAGTTTGGAAAGTTTCATCATTAATTAACAAAGAAATCATATCAATGGTAAAACAATCTAATTGGAATGGGTTTATTACTGTAATTGTATCAATACCTCTGCTGGAAATGGTATACCATCGATACGATGTTCTGATCCAACAGAATCAGTTCGACCAAAATGAATGTACAAAGAATCGAAACTATATGAATATGATAATGGACCTGAGCTTATGTTGATCGGTGTCCCTCGAAGTTGATCAACTTCATTGAAAATTCTTGATGAATCTGAATGTCGATGTTTATCCGGAGCATTTAATCGGAAAACAACAGAATGACCATTGTTTTCAAGAACTCCTGAAATCTATGAGACAAAAAAGGTAAAAATGAAAGAAAAAATAAAATCAACAATCAATCACTTGATCAACTCTTTGATTTCATGACGACTCAAAATCCATTTTAATTCACTAATTGTTTGAATTTGTTGATTATAAAAAAACATACAAATCGAAACTGAAACATAATAACACAACTCTCAAATTGGAGATTAATAAATTTTACCTGATGAGATTGGTAAATGTTTAAGCCATTAATCAGCTTAACCATATATCGAATCTGATTCGATTAAATTTCTTCCCTGTTAACGATATATAACAAGATTTCATGATATTCCTACACCATGTCAACTGAATGACAGTTGAAACTGACAAAACCAGAGAAAAAAGTTTCAACTGATGAACAAAAAGAAGCCAAAATCTTAATTTGGAGTAAAGAAAAACTATTTTTCATTATTCGACTTTTTTCAACTTTAAAATACTATCGATGTCCAAGAAGATCAACTTATGATTGGTCATTAGTGTAAATAATATTCGATAACAGACAAATATCAACATCGTTTCAGTTGTAATGAGAGAGGAGAGTGGAAAAATGGAATCGGAAAACTCTAAATTTCAACTTACTTTTTGATCGTCGATATGAATCGGTCTTAAAAAAGGGTCGTACAAAAGGTTATTTGGCTTTATATCGATTGGCGATTGGCGTTTTCCTTTATTACATAAGCTCCATTCTGGATTAAGGAGACCCCAAAAGTCTGGACCTGAGAAAGTTTCGACAAAAAGTTGCATGAGAAACAAAAGTTTCAACTGAACTTTTCAAGAATTTCCAAGCCAAAAAACTGAAACTTTTCCTTGTTGATTGAGAAAACAAAATTCTCTCAATTAATATCCATCATATGTAAATGTAATCACTTATTTAGAACAATAAATCCAATCCCCATCTCGATTAATCAGAATCATGATTGGAGAAAATTTCCCTCACTCGTTACCCAATGTTCAGAGTATTGATTGAATTTAGAACTTTTTTTTCATTCTTTTCGTGATAAATTAATAATCGCAATGATTAATTATTACTATCAAACTAATGGACTATTTGAGTACAATGTTAAAGTTTCATTTAGAATAAAAAAAAACGATGAAACAAATACAATTGACCAATTCATGATTCCAAGGGTACAGAGAAATAGAAGAGAACTAAATAATCACAATCATGCAAACAATTGAACTCTCTCAGTCGTAATCAATTAATTTTCGCAAAATATCGTAATTACCAGAGATCCCATCATATGTCCACCATTCTTCCCAATTACCGGAAACACTTAGAGCACCTTATGAGAAAAAGAAAAAGAGAGAAAATAACAATTAAACAACAAATATAAACAACGAATATGATATTCCAATTTTCAATTCTCTATCAAATAAGATTATAAGAAATCGATTAGAGGACAAACATTATAATCATTCATCGACCGAATATAATAATAATGTTATCATAATCATTATGAAACTGGGAGGGTGAAAGTCCTCCCATTTCATTAGCTGAACTTTTTTCTCTCAGCGATTTGTCAAAATCACTTTTTGAGAGAGAGAGAGAGAGAGACTAATAACTCATTTATGGAAAAATTCTCACAGAATTGAAAAGATAGTTGGATAATTAATTAGAGGAAGATTTGTGAATCGCTGGACATTGGTCAGTTGTTTTTTCTTTCTATTGGACAATTTGTTTGAACTTCAAATTGGTTGCTAATATTTATTAGCTTGGATAAAATTTTTATCACCCTAATGGTTATTGTTTTTAACGATTATTATCATTACTTTAACTCTCAATTTCATCATGGTAACTGTTTCTTATTTAAAGTCAATGGACAACATGATGAGTAAAACTAAGAAAAGTGGACAAAAGGTTAAGCGATGTGAGTAGCCTATTAATGTACAATATAAACTGAAGACATGAAATTTGTTTTCAGGAACAGGAAATCTCATACTTGAAACAATAATACTGTTCAGTTAACATCCTGATAGATGTGAGGACATGATAATCACTTGGGTGAGGATTTATGAGCATCATTTGAAAAGAAATGTTAAATGAACAGTGAAAAACAATAAGAAAACTTGAATAAAATGCCTGAGAACACTTGAAGCAAGATTATAACTTTGATAATCTTTTAATTGACAATTTAAATGGTAAACAAACTCATATTAACATGGAAGAATAGCTAATCAGCTGATTGAAATTCAATTGAAACAAAATAGGAAACAAAATGTATCTAAACTTACCTGGAAGAAGTGTAATTAGCTGTAAAATTTGAATGAGAATTGACATTGTTATAACTGTCTCCACAAGTAGTGGTCAAGAAAGTCAATTAATTGATTGTCCAGTAGTAATAATTAATCAGCTCAGGATTTTTTTCATCCCAAACTTTTAGCCAAACGGAAACTTGACTTTGAATTTCAAAATGGATTATATCTATTTCCTTTCTTGGTCAATGGTCAGTTTGATGTTGTCCACTATTTGATTGTCATCGTTAGATACACAATTAAATTGATCCAAAGTTTGATATTATTAACACCTAATGTTATTGTTGAATGAAAATAAGAATACAAAGAAACAAAATATACTCATAAGATGAAAATAATGAGAAACCTTTGGAGGGAAAAGTGGGATAACTAATGGTTTAAATTACTGATGACCCTCCTCTCTTTCATTCACCCATATAGCACCACCATCATCATGATAATCATTGGAATCATTTAATTCATGATCATCAGTCAAAGTTTTACCAACAGATTCAAGGATCAACTGATCAAAGACGAAGAGGAAAAGTCAAATGAAGTCAAAGATTACAATGGATAAAGCTTAAAGCAGCTTGAATGAAATTCATTCATCATTGGGAAATATAAAGCAAGAGGATAAACTTTGCATTATATTATCGATAGGGTAAGAAAAACGTAACAAAGATTAAGGTTTGCAAAAAAATTCAGAGATGCAAAAAATGAGCAACATCTTATCAGAATTGATAAACATGATAATACTGATAATATCTTTACATCATTAGGATGCACTGGAAAAATAACATATAATATAAAATATTGAAAAATCTCAAGTTATCATATCAAAAGTTGATTGTAATGAATGATTGGGAATAAGATTAGAGTCAATTAAGATGATGGAGGAGAGAGAAAGTGAAAGTGAGATAAACCTTACCTCATGTAACAGGAATTCTGATTTTACCTCGATAAGATTCATGGGAAAACGTTTGGAGGAAACTTTCCGAAAACTTTTTCTTTGTATTATCAGAGTTTTGAGTTGTAAATGAAATTGAATACGAAAGGAAAAGACATTGAGAAAGTAGGACACTGTTCAGATTTGGAATTCAGGATAATTCTGTTATCAGAATTGTCTAGTTAAATGTCCAAAGTGGACCTAGTTCAATCTAAATACTCAGCATTTATATTTTCCGTTCAATATTACAAGTAGAAAGATAATCAAATAATGCCATGAGTAGGAATTACAAATGACCATTTTCATGATAAAGTGACCAAGGATTAACAGTTTGACCTTGTTGTTTGTTTCAATGGTTTTAATTAAGGTGATTTAGAATTTAAATTGCTGTTTATCAATTAAAGAGATGTTGTTATTTCACTATAAGGTCAAGATGAAGATCTTGTGAATCAATGAAAGGTTAGATTTTATCAATAAATTATATCGATTGCAAATAATGACGATTATCAATATTCTTGTGGATTTAAGCTGATAAAATCTCATGGTTTTCATGTGATTTCTATCATTCCAAATCAGGCCCAATCATCATCCTCATCATCACCAATATCTCATCATGTTGAATGATGTGTTTTTTTCTTTTATTGTTGTTATCTTAAGATGATAAGAATCAATTGAATCTCTAAATCAAACCCAACAACATTCAATTCTGATCAATCAATCTCTTGACTACAAGAAGAAAAGGGAAGATTCAATTCTCTTTGACTGAATGGAAATCATGAAGATGAAAGATGATAATCGGCAGAAATAGAATCGAGGATAAAAATGAATATCGAATGAAAAAAACCAAGTCGATAGAACTGAATTCTTTGTATTTGCTACAAATGGATAAACTTTGATAGAAGGGAAAAAAGAAACAATTGTGAGTGAATTGATGTTGATAGACTTGATTATCATCACCAACCAACTCACCTCCATCATCATCATCATCATAATACTATTTTTCATCATCTTCTCATTCATGAATCAATTAAGAGAATGAGTAAACTCAAACTGACCACAACTTTCACCATGAAAAATGATGAAGTAAACGATTACGATGAAGAAGGAGAAACCAAAAAACAAAATTCATTATTTTTCCAATTGCTTATTTCTAATTGTTTGTGTTCCTCATCATACTGACCATTATCATCATCATCAGCATCATCAACATTGACCTCAAGCCCCATTCACCCAAGGGTAAAAATCCCCACTCAACAATATGCTTCAAGGCAATAGTTCAGAGGTAAACATTAGATCAATGTTCAAACCTTAATGAAACTAAAAGTTCTGAGAGGAAAAAAAATAACTGAATCAAATTAAACAGATTTAACTACAATCATTACAAACGGTTGATTGATTGTGGTTAACGGTAAAAGTTACATTCACAATTGTTTATCAAAGTCCCGGAAACAATTCCCCTGATCATGATTATTTTTTTCCTCCTCAACTGAATCAATTTAACAATCTAAATATATCAAAGTTGAAAACTGCAACAGTAGACACAAAATTGAGCCTCATTATAATTTGATTAACTTAATTGTATTTACCTGGACTGATTGTTAATTATTCAATCTAGTTAAACATCAATTGATAAATAATTAAAATTTTAAAATCAATAACAAGTATCATTAAATAACTAATTGAAAATGAAAAAGTTACTAAGTGAAAGTGATTAAAAAATTTGAGTAAATAATATCTGGAAACAAAAACCAATATTAATATTAATAGTTAATCAATTGTGATAGAGTCATGAATGAATTTTAATTGAATTAGTTAATTAATAAGCTAATTTAACAAATTACTCTTTCACCTCATTAACCTTTAACACTGTTAATCAATATTTACCAACTTTATATCAGACATTTAAGCTTAGTACAGTGTAGATCTTAATTGCTTTAAGCTAATCAAATGGAAACCGTAAAGAATAAGATTTGTCAATGATTGATGAATTGATTACAAACTTGAATTTGGCGGAAATTGTGATGATAAAAAAAATGATTTTTCACCCTGAATTTCATGGTGAAAATGATACACGAAAAATCAGAAAGTTTACATACCCTTCCAACAGAATGATCAACAGAAACATTTAAGATGCTAAGTAAATGAATCCAAATATATGTACAATACATTGAATATTAAGTGTAAAAGAAAAAAAAACTTTCAAAAAGAGAAGAAAAAAAAGTTCAAACAAAAAGCACATAAGCAAATGTACTGAATACTATCAGTTCTGTTATAATGGTGTTATTGTTCATTGACAAGGAAATAAATCTATTCTGTTTTTACCCTGTAAGGAACAGAGAGAGAGAGAGAGAGAGAGAGAGAGAGAGAGAGAGAGAGAGAGAGAGAGAGAGCAGGGTGAAGGGAGAGTTCAGAATTTAACAGGTTACTCTGATGATGAGAATGATATTGCTGCTGTTTTAAATCATTATACGCTTCATATGACATTCATTTCATCCTAATGAAAATTGAACAATAAATTCAGAAACTAAGCCAAAATTTTCATGTAAAAATCTTCAAGACACAGGGAGTGTGAAAATAATTGTATTCAGAAACATATCTCATACCCTTTGGGCGTTAATTTTATAACTGGTGGGTATGATACCCGAACAATAATCGAGCAAAACACCTATTCAATTTAATAGTATTATAATAATTCTATAAGTTCATTAGAAAAAAACGAAAAATAAAACTATGAGTTAATAGTAATTCTCAACCTTTGACACTTTATCACATTTACTAGTCTTTGATTATCCAACTATCAATGGAGTTTTTTTTCCTTCTTCATGTCAACTGTGTAAATCTTGACTTGTTGTCTTATTAATTTTGTATTAAATTAGATTTAATTTAATTCATAAATGAAGTTGACAAGATGAAGTTGGAAATCTGATTATCTTTTTTTTCACCAAGAGAAATGTTAACAATTAGAACAAGAGGAAAAAAAAGCTTTCGAAAAAAAGTTCGAAACTTTTTTCTCTCTACCAACTATTGTGATCTTCTCTGTCTTATATTAAATCTTTGAAGATTTAATTCAATTTGTGGTATCACCTCTTAATTGGATCGTTCATTTAATTCTGATCACTGACAATTATTCCAACAATAAGAGTCAAATTTAAATTCTGTTAACTTTAAATGTGAATTCTGAATACACTAAGAACTTTTAATTTCCTTACTTATGATTATGAGAATAATTTTCAAATTTTATTAGCAGGAACGATTTGACAGTTACAATAATTTAGCAAATTATACTTTCGGTGAAAAGTTAATCAAATTAACTCTCAATAAATCATTTGTATGATATACTTGATATGATAAAACTGTTATTTCTGAATCATTTTCACCCATCAAATGAATATCATATTGTTCAATAATATTATCATCATTTGGTGGACACAAAAGGGTTTCAAGGTAAAGTCTAGGATTCTGAAGTAAGAGTTATATAATATGTATATATTTAAGGATAAAATTAATTGCTCGGGATTATATGTAATAGTTAAATCATTAATTATCACAATTATCATGTACGATTGTTATTATTATCATAATGAAAGCTTCCTGTTCATCCTGAGGGAAGATTAACTCAATTTGCTATTGTTAATCATCATCAGGGATAAAAAAATGTTATTATTACATCTTATTCATTGTCTTTATATGAATAGATCATGATGAGGGGATTTCGATGGGCGGATGAGAAGAAGGGAGGGAGAGAGAGAGATGCCAAGTAAGAAGATACTTGAATGTCCATACTCCAATTGTTGGTCATCTTTTCATTCAAGTTTCTATTTTCTTACACAAGACTATAAGGAAGACTGGTGATAATAGATTTCGATTTCGATTTGGTTATAATTTGCACTCTATTCTATTATTATCTTATCACATAAATGATAATTTTTATCGAAACTCGAAACTAAATATTGAAGATAATGGATAAACAAGTGACCAAGTCAATTCTTATTAAGATAGAGATGAATAATATATTAATGATGTAAATGATTGTCAATGTAAATTGAATGAAAGACAAAAGGAGACACAAGAGATTTACCTTATTGTTAATGAACAATTGAATCAATGATTAACTGAATCAAGGATTTAACTTATTATCATAAGCAATTCATTAGACTATCTTGTAACCCTGATAACATGAGTTAATGATTGATTGATGAGGTGAAGCTCAAATACCTTAATAGGTTATTAAGGTGTGTACTTGTCTCTCTATCAGCTCATCATTAATGTAAATCACAATGACAATGGGTCAATAAGATGCCCTTCTAATACATATCAAGATAGAATTGAAGTAACGGTAAAAAAAAAATGGACAAACAGAATTGAAAAGAATCAACAAAGATAATGATGGTAATACAGATAGAAAAAAAGAAACATTTTCATCAAGAGATCATGATAATTTCATGATGATTTATCTTAGAATTCATTTTATGGTCAGTTTTTTTTTCTACACGAAAAAAAAATTTCTCTTTTTCTCTTAACATCTTTTGATTGCTTGTTAACCTTTTTTGATACAATCAATGGGATCAAATCAACAGACCAACACACAAATATATGTATTGCCCTCTCGTCGTATCTAATTATTTCCTCTTCATGTTTATAAGTGGATGAAGATGGGGATGAGGATGATGAGAAAAAAAGATGAGCAGAAAAAAAGTGACTTCTATTTTCGTATCCACACCTTTTTCTTGTGAGTTTTCAGCAATAGAAATCAAATAGTATCAGAGACTCTGGAGAAAACACCTAAGAACTTTAGTTTTTTTTCTCTCCTTCTCTATTTTTCTGTATCTTCTTCCTTCATCTTCCTCCGTAAATATATCTTAAATCTCTCCTATGGAAGATAAAAGATGAGATATACTTTTATCTCCTTCTCTCTCTCTCTTTGATCAACTCCCTTCTCATCATAATCCAGTCAAGAAAAATTAGACACAACTCAATCGATTCCTAAAAGATAATGATAAATTCACATAAATACTGATGCTCACACATCCCAACTGAAAATGGTTAACATCAAGTTTATCAAATAAAGAAAACGAATCAAAAAGCTAAAGTTAATTTAGATACAAATTGACAGATTGACAGAGGAGTGGTCAGTATATTATAACAACATTATCACTCCGATCAATCATAATCTCATACAATAGATAAAAACAAGAATAATTCAGATATAAAAGTTTCTTCCCTGATTAGCTCAGTGAATAATCATCATGAAAATATTCAATCAAAGTTTCAAGGCTTAAGATTTTGTTATTTCATCAATATACAATATAAATGATCATCTTAATCTTTCAATTGAAATTGTTTAAAAAAGTTTTCATATGAGCAATAATACAATTGCATGATACTGATTGAGGTTCAATTGTCATTTCTCTGCTTATTCTGGAATTCAAACTCAATGGACTGGGTGATGATAATATTTCCAAGGAATCAATTAACTGCATGGTGATAATAATTAGACGACTAATAACTCATAATTTTAGTCTAACAATTAAACTCAACAATGAGACTCAACTTTGAAGGAAACAATTGAAAGCCCTCCTGAAGGGATATCTTTTTCTCATCATCATTATCATCACCATTTACCATTTTCTATTCAATGGAATAACATTTTTCTATTTGGCAAACAGTCAAGTTGCGATTCGAAAGTAGAGAAAAAAGTTTCATTGTTGAATGAATGAGAGAGAGATACAATTAATTGTGATATGCTATTCGCTGTTATCATTACAGTTTATGTACAACAAACAATCAACAATAATAAACAATCATAGTTACAGTTTAGTGTAACTTTTTCATAGAGATTTTTTTTTCTCTTCATCAAATCATTCAGAATTCTGAGCATTCTGAGATATTTTTTTCTCCTTTCTCCATTCTATTCTAAACAAAATATTATTGAAGGAAGAATAAACTTCCAAAACATATCACTATCTTCTTGTTGTCATCATCATCATTATCTTTCATTATTGTTCTCAATTCAGTAAATTTCATCATTCTTTTTACCTGGGTGGGGGTTCAGAGTGTTCATGGCTGTTGTTTGGAATATTGTTTTTTTTATCTTCATCTTTTATCTTTAATTCATTCAAGTTCATCTGAACTAAGTCTCTCTCAATGGTAAAGTGTGATAAAGAAGCTAGTGTTACATTGATGGTTCAGTAAATCTTTTCAATGAATTGGTCATCATCATCATGGTCATTCAAGATTCACTTTCGACCTCTCGGCTCTCTCACTGTTTTCTCATTAAAACATTCTCAATGGTAATGATCTTATCATAGTAAATGTAATAGTAAACAGGGAAAGAAGAAAAAAAATCAAGTTCCAAATTTATATTTCTTCATGTAAAGAGTTACCATGGGAGAGAGAGAGAGAGAGAGTTAGGAAACAGATTCAATATTTTCTTCATTACCTGAGAAAATTTCATAAAACAATCAACAGATAAATGTTTAAATTGTAGTAATAATAATATCACTTCATGATAATGATGTTGAATGATTATTTGGATATCATGATGATGATACTTGTGAATATTTATAACAAATGATTGTTTCAACTAAATTTGATTCATTTCAAGTATCAGATTTAAATTCAGGTTGAAAATATCATTAACATGTGAGACTAATCAATGAGAAAACTTTCACAACCATCGATGAATAATTTACCTAATTAACTAATTGTTTGAGGTGTTTGTTGACTTTGTATCAACTCTCAATTAATAATAGATTGACATAGAGATGAATTCGTGTTGATCAGTTGATTAAAGCTTTGAATTTGTAGATAATTAATTGGTCAAAGTTAAGAATCAAAGTTTATAATCTAATCAATGGTTATGATGATTTTGGAAAGGAGAAGTGGATTAGTTATGATGGAAGTTGGAAGAGATTAACTTTTAATTACTTACTAATCACTAATTAGTGTAAATTTCGTCTCGGTGATTTATTAGCTCAAGATTTGAATGATTATCATCAGGATTTAGATGTTGATCCACAAAGAGACAAATAATTAACTTAAATCCAGTTTTAATGTATCAACCATGAAGATACAATAAGTCACCAAGGAAATTTGAAAAGTTAAAGATGATCAGCAAGAAGTTAATTAAAGGTAAACTAATTAATTATAACAATTAAGGAAAAATTGTAACAGAGGTGATTCAATGTTAATAATAGAGTGTCAATCAATGTCAATCATTTAAATTGCTACCGAGCTTACTGATTTCAAAAGACAACATGAAATTATATTAAAGCGGAAAAGGAAATGATGAAGATTATCAAAATAATAGATTTGAGAGATTATGTTTATCGATGATGAAACTTGTTTGATGACCATTGGATTGGTCAATCAAATGTGTAGATAAGTTTTGTTTTACTTCATGTTAAAGTTAATCACGAAATAATTTACTGATAGAATAACAATTAGTGATAAAAATTAGTTTTCTAATGTTAAGGTAAACAATTTAATCTAATATGAACAAGTGATTAGATGATAAGTTTAAATGGTCAACACTGATGATGAGAGAGTAAAAATGTAACGATTAACAATTGAACTTGAGGTAAACTAACAAGTTGCAAGTTCGAAACTAAATGTTCATAAAAGTTTTTTTTTTCTCTTCCATTCGATTCTTGATATAAGAGGGAAGTTCATAGTTTCCAGGCCGAAAGAATGAGAAACGATTCCAATCAAATTCATGTTCTCCCCTGTTTCTCATGTTTGTATCTCCGCCTTTTCCTCTCTCCCTCTCTCTCACTTTCCCTCCTTGTTTTCTATGCGAATATGATTCTCATCATCAGCATCATCTTCCTATAACAAAAATAAAGATCACAATTATCATCCCATGCGCTGAATCTGAGATTGAAATTCCATGTACGATGATGTCATCTATCGGATTCGATTCATATTAGTAGAAGGCAAATGTTCAAAACTTACATTAAAGTAAAAGTTTATTTTCTATAAAATTAAATGTACAAATTGTGGACAAATTGATTAGAATATATTTTTTTCTCGAAAATTATTAAATTAAATTTTAAGATTTTTGGTTATTGGGTTTGAATTTTACTCGTCATACATCTTAACGAGATTTAAATCGACATCTGAATTGCTGGTGACATTTCCCTTAACCTCGAGCTCTCCACCGAAGTTTAAATCGAATTGGTCTGAATTTAAATCGGCAACATCTTCCAATTTTATCTCAGATAAGTTCGAAGTAAATTTGTTGTATTCCATATTCGAATTCAAATTGACAATCAAATTATCCAGGGTAATATCATGATAATGTTCAATTCCATCTAATGAACCGTTTTTCATCCATGGTAAAATCTCTTGATTAGTGATAGTTAAATCATTCTCGATGGTTAAATTGTTAATTGTTAGGTTAGTAGATGAATTGATTGTTGATCGTTGATAAACTTTCCACTCTGATTCAGAGTAGATGTTTAAATCTCCTTCAGTTGATATGATTTCCCGAATTTCTAACCCTTCCTTCATGATAGCACCCTTATTGATCGTTATGTTGGTCATTCCATCGAGTTCAAAAAGCTTTCTGACCGTTAGGTTACCATTGATTTCGAGTTGATCCCAACAAATGTCACCATCTTTTCCGATATCCATCCAAAGATTGATTCCTAATTCATTATTATAAAAGGAAATTGATTCCATGAATTCAACGAGTTCATGAAATTCGAGATCAACATCAATCGTTTGGTTAGAATTAGTTAACAAAAGATTAGAAAATTTTCTAAACAATTCTGGATTAGTTAATCCGGTTATGTTACTAGATTTAAGAATCATAGTCTCAGGCCATTTAAGCTTTGAATCAGCTCGAAGTAATCGGTTCAGGTCAATTCCATTTAGATTGGGAGTACTACAATTAGCTGCAACTAAATGTTTGAATGAAATGTCTGCATTAACATCAATGGAACCTCTTGATTGTGTGAAGTCCTGATCACTACAATTAACCAAGAATTTAGATGATTCAATTGTGTTTATTGTTCCATTGGCTTCCAGACTCATAATATTCAGCTGATCGATTGGTGTATCTTCATCTGAGTCCAGTTGATCGGTTTCTCTCAAACAAGAGGGAACATTTACCTGATCAAGAGTTAGATTATTAACTTGCAGATCGTTGATTGTTAACAATTCACTGATATTATTGATCTTCATGAAATTTGTGAAATCAACTTGGTCAATTGTTTCAAAATTACAATTCGATGCTTCAACTTTTTCAGCAAAACGCAATTCAAACTTCGTTAAATTATTGTAAGGAATCAAATCACCAACGAACTCTCCAAGATCCATATCATTTAATTGATCGGTGATGATTAAATCACCTTCAATCTGCCAATTGTCCATTGTAATTTCATTTTTATCCCACAATCTATTAGCCAAATCAAATGAAATCAACACTTCATCTTCAAAGACAATATTGGATTTGATTGTTTCGCTGCCATTCAAAGTAACCAAATCATGATCGTATTTAATATCATTAACGTAATCAAATAAAACGGTCCCATTAATGTGAACATTATCCAAATTATAAGTTTCATTTAAATTGTTGACCATAAAATCGTCCCAAGTGGAAGTATTCAAATTGGTTACATTGATTGTGTCCAGAATTAAAACATCGTAGTACAAAAAGTTATCCATCACGATGAATTCTGTTAATTTTTCCACCATTTTAACAGCAAATCCATGGTCATTTGTAAGGGTTGACCCATTCAAGTGTATCTCTTTGAGAGCAATTTCCTTGGCATTTGAAGATTGATTAGTATTCGTAGTTAGTAAATCAGCTAAATCGATTCCACTTAATTTCGTACCAATTAAAGATGACAAATTAACTTGATTGAAAGTAATGTGACACAAATCAACCTCTTGTCTATCAATAATATTCACTGTCGATAATAAACTATATGGATGATTTTCATCTTCCTTGTTAATTGTTACATTTTCCAATTCCAATTGATTGAAAGATAAATTGCCAGTAATATGGATTGTTTCATATTCATTTCGAAATGAATTTGTCAAATCAATTGATGGTGTTTCTATCACGGTGCTGATCAATGTTTCATTGAATATAATCTGATTGGAAATATTGAAATTCAATCCTTGATCACCGTTCATTATAAATCCCCAGGTAAATTCAGAATCATGGAAAGTACCATCAGTATCATTGATTGTCATCAAATCTTGTGAGTAAATCTGTTGACCAGGGCCAAGGGTAACATTGGCAATTAAACAACAGGAACCATTAATGATCACATTTTGATCAATCCAAACGATTTCATTTGTAACAATTGGTTCATATGAATCAATACATTGTTTCAATGAAATTGTTTCATTGACAATTGTGTCCAGTACTTCATGGGTTGTCCAGTTTGTTGATAACGATATTGATTGGTCAAGGTTAATTGTATCTGTGATATTTAAATTTATCTCTTCGGTGATGATTAACTTTCCCGATTCTCCGATTTCAAGAGAAGGTAAAGATTGTGATGAATTAACGGTGTAATTTGATTGATTCACCGAAACTCGAGATTCAAGAATATTTATCAAATTTAGATATTTCTCGTATTTGGAATTAATTTCATCAAAATAATCACGAATCTCAATTGATCTTCGAACTGGATTTAACGAAGATGTAACGTTGAGACATTCATCATAGCCTTTAGATGAATTTGTAATGTTAAAAACACCACAAATTGCTTTAAATGTTTCTTCAAAACTTGGAACTTTATTGATGACTGAATTTGCTGAACAATTGAACAGAGTGAAAAAAATGATTGTATAAATAGTTGATTTCATTACTTTGATTGTTGACAATTTGATCAATTTTATAACCACAATGAGTTGTTTCGGTATCAATAGATTACAATAGAGAATCAATAAGAATAAATTAACTTAAATGAAGAGCTTAATTGTGTTATGGTCAGTAAATTATATTTGACCCTCAATTTTATTTAATTGCAAGTGGATTTAGTTAATCACATTTTTGATCATCTGATTTACGCGGTTAAAAGAGTCATCTAGTGAGGGAATTACGAACTATTAATCGTTAATTGTTTCAAATTTGCTAATTTCCAGTGAATTAATAGTTTTATTTATTAATAGTTGATGAATTTAACTTTAGTTTTTTTTGGAATCGATTGAGTTTTCTGAAGATTTTTTTTGGACTTCAAGGTGAAAGTTCGGGAGATTTTTATGGTTATGTTTACAGTTTTATCTTCGATAGTCTTTTACTATGAATGGAATCCGATAGATGACATTATGTTACATAGAATCTGAATCTTTTTCTTTGGCGCATGTTGATGAAATTCTGATCTTTATCTCTTATAGGAAGATAATGATGAAGATGAAGAGAAGATGAAGAAGAAGATGATATTGTGTAGATTTTTGTTCAAATAGAGAATTTGAAACCTTTGCGCCTCTACTATTTTGATCTACTTCGAGAAATCGATCGGTTTATTTTTCGCTCATGAGCAAAGTGGAAAATTTCAATTCTTTTCTCCATCAACAAGAAATACTCACATTTCATCCTGGTTCTTTCCTAAAACTGTTCAAACTGTTGTTTTCTTCTGTCAATTTGTCCATTTCTTCAAATTTTTCGTCTTTTACTCAATACAACTTGAATTTCAATAGAAAAGAAAAGAAAATTTTTATTTCCTTCCTCTTATACAACAATATATAACTAATGGCGAGTTCAGATATTTATATACGTGATTCATCAACACGATCGAGAACCGGTCGATCAATTTGTGATTCAGTGGAAAGTTCAGTTTCCGAAGCACCTCCACCATATCATCAGATACCAAATTCTTATAGATCACATCAGAGATTTTCTCGTGTACAAAAAAATCTTTACTCAACCTCATCACCATATCCACCAGATAACATTTACCAAGAATTGGCGACACAAAATTCAACAACTGGACCTTTAATACCATTACCAAGTCACGTTCATCCGTCTCAACATTTAGAGCCAAGTGATGCACCACCACAAGTACTTTTTTCAACTTTAACCGGTAACGGAGGTGCCGTTGGCTCTGTGCTTTATTCAACCCATCAACACGGTTATCCAAGATCAGATCAACACTCATCGTCAACCTCAACGGCAATAAGAGTATCAAGGTTCAATTTCAATTGGAGTAAAGGTTGTTCGCCCTCCGAAAGGCAACCATGTTATTGGCGTTTATCGACACTTTTTTTGGTACTAATCTGCCTTACATTACTTTCTATTGTAGCATATAAACAAGGTAAGAACTTTAATTTCAATCAATTAACTTTAGATCAAAACAATCAATCAATTTCTATGGATAATAACACATGAGTTAATACAATATTAAAATTGTTCCTTCACTACTTTTTCTTTATCATCAAATGATGAACAGTAGCAGAATCATCAAGATACACTGACGAAAATGCTAAACCTTGTATAGTAATTGAAGAATCAGCAAATCAAGATAAATCATTATCACCATCATCTTTTGGACAATCAACTCAAAAATCTCATTTAACACCATTAACATTAAATGGAACAACATTTAAAGCCAATCGTATATATGATTCACTTGGAAATGGTCAACTAAATAGTAATAACAATCAACAATCATCTTCCTCTTCTTCTACATCCTTATCATCAGTTTCCTTTAAAGAAAATGTTAATTTGATTAACAAATCATTAGAATCAATTTCCTTAAACGGAAATCACAATAATCGATCAGAATTAATTGGTACTGATTATTTTCCATCATCAACTCATAGGAAGAACAGGAAAAATGGACCTTGTTCAATGGTTAATCTTCCGCAAGAAATTTATCTTTACAATGAAATTAAATCTAACGGTAAATTCGTGCTAATTACTGAAACATTATCTTCCCATTTTGCTTTTACTTCGAGAATTCAACAAAATAAGTCGATATTTGCACGATTCTCGTTTATTGGACTTCCAATTAGATCTCGATTTGCATTATTCTTACGTCGTAGTGAACCACCAACTTTGACCTCATACGATTATATGGAGATAATTACACCTAAATCAACTGGTCATTCTGACAGTAATACACGAAATTCTGGACATTCTGTAGAAAGTAGTGACTTTAGTTCAGAAATTTTAAAATATCTTGAAACTGGAACTTGGTATTTGGTTATTGTCAATGACGGTGAAATCGAGACTCCAATTAATTTGAAAATCACTTTCGCCGATGATATTTCAACATCATGTCAGAATAACTGTAATGGTCATGGTAAATGTCAACAAGGAAAATGTTTCTGTTTCCCTGGATTCATTGGAGTTGAATGCAGTGATAGTAAGTATCATAATTCATTTTCCAATACATATCAGTTCAGAGTTTCAAAAGTTCTTAAAACGAATCTAAAATCAATCTCAAAAAATTTTCTCCAAATTCTCAAATAAAAATCATCTCCATGATCATGATATTTGATATCAGAATTTTTTTATCATATACAAGAGATGACTTTAGACTTCAACTAATCAACACTCTTATTACTCAAATGAATCTCAACCCAGAATTACCTGAGCAACTAAATTTAGCTAATATTTGTTAAGTGTCATGATATTTTATCGTATTCATGAGCAATGAATTATTCACGATCACATACTAACTCTCTCACTCTGAAACGTTTAATTTGATTCTGTATAATTATCGTTACTGTAAATATTTGGCTGGTCACTGAAACTGAAACAATCAGTGAATCAAAACAAATAAATTGTTCCCAATAATCATCACAATCAAAGTAAAAAAAGAAAAGGTTTAATTTTGTTTTTTATTTGAGTAAAAATTTCACGTATTTAATTGGTCACTAATTAATTGACCTGGAACAAAACTTTCATGAAATTCATACATTAACTGAATCTAGTAGATTGAATAATATTATTATTATTATTATTTTCCTTTTTCGATAATAATAATCACTAATGTTATATGATAATTATTTCAACAATCAGTTAATGATGAGGTTTAAAAGGTACATAAATACAATGTTTATTCATTCAATTGAATCAGATTTAACTCCCAAACAATTAATATCATTTGAAAAACGAACCTTTTAATTATTAATGAATTTTAATACAATGATATTGTGATAACCAATCATTAGATTCATCATTAACCATTAACTGTGGATTTGCCCATCACCTTGTAACTCATGATAATTAATGAGGTTTTTTTTTACTTCCTTGTTATAATATACAATAGGATTGAGAAAAATATTCTGTTACTGATATTAAACTATCATGATGATTATTAATGATTATTTCCGATTGAAATGAATGAATAGTTTACCCTGAATGTTAAATTCCTTACTCAGAATATAATCTCCAAGTTCTGTTCAATTGTTATCATGCAATTCAAAGGGATTTGATTACTAGAACATTGATCTCAATGTTAAGCTGAACTTTGGGTGTGAAAATATTAGCTAAAAATCGCTAATTAACTGTATAAGCTAATTAGCATTAGATTTTCGAGTATTTTTTTGCTCTCTCTCTCTCCACCACTAATTATGTTTCGATGGCAATTAGATGTAATTGTAATCGAAAATGATCTAGACTTGATATCGACCTGAACGCTATTGCGATATTAAGAGATTGTCTTTTGTTAAATTACCTCAAATGGGTTGAGCTTTATTAGTTTTTACCGTTATGCTGATTTATCATAATCATTAATCATAGAAATTAGTTTAATGAGGTTAAACATGATATAAGGAATAGTAATATATTATTATTGTATATTATATTGTTTGTTTTCAGATTGTTTAACTTGAATGTTAATCAACCTGATTAACAATAAGGGAGACACGATGACAATATAATAATAATCAATTTTCAAGCTTAAATATAATAAATTGATTGTGTAAATTAAGAGTGATGACTAATAACAATGTTAATCCGTAATAAAGATTAAGATAAACAAGATTATATGAATGAGTCAATATTAAGTTTTGTTTGTGATTATTTTAATCACGATTAACTAATAGACAAATGAAAATACGAGTGGGTTTTGGGTGGAGTAGGAAGAGAGAGAGAGAGGGAGAGAGAGACTAGTTGAACTCGGAAGGTTGAAGGTTGTTCCCTAACCTTGAAAATTTTACAAAGATGAGGCCAATTAAAGGGTGACCCTCCGGTCCTAATAATGATAATGATCAGCAAATGATCATGACGTGACATCTTTACTTATTATTATTACAATTCATTTGAATGATTATCCTTAATGATGAAAAACTTGAACAGAATAACAAAAAAAAAGTCTAACAAATAATCAGATGAGTTGATAGAGTAAATTATTGATAATATTACCTGGGAATTAAACAATAGATTTACCGTTAGATCAGAATAGACAATTGTATCGGTGAATATATTTACTTATTACCTGGTGGGAAGATTGATTTATTATTGATGTTTCCAAGAGAAGATGATGATGATGATGATGACATTTTCTAGTACCATTATCATCAAAAATGGTGGATAGATGAGACTCCATTTTGTTTATCTGTTGAGTAAAAATCATCATCATCATCATCAGCAACCCAAGAATATTGTTCAATGTAATTGTATCTTAGCACAATGTACTGACCATCTCTATTCCCAAATTGTGAGTGACCAATGACATCAATGCCCATTTGTTATATTATTATTATCATTTATTATTTGTATTATTAATATATACTCAAAGAAACTGGACATTTTATGAGATCACATTTATCTTGATTTGATTTCTAAGTTGTAATAATATGAATCTATTCATTTGATTCTGTATTCTTATTAATAATGAACACACATTTATATATAATAATAATGTTTCTATCATTTTGTAAATGATTTTCTCATTGTTGTTATTGCATCTTGTTGACAGTATCATCATCATCATCGTCATCATCATCACCATGTTGCTTTTTTGCTCATCTTCCTTCATGAAAAGATATTACTTGTTATCATTGATACTAATCACTAATGTTGTAATAGTAGAGCAACAATATGCTATTCAATAGTATTCATACTGAGTCACAATTGAGGAATCAAATTATTAGATAATCAAATCTACTCACAATTCAAGCTGATCATTTGTAAGGATAATAGATAATCACATTTAGTTTACCTTTTCTTTCACAATTTCTGATCAATTCTTATCACCATGTCCATGAGTTTCCATGAACAACAATTTGATGATGAAACATTTTCACCTTCGTTTTTTTTTTGTTGCTCTCTTCTCGTATCAATTTAATTATATTACGTGTGGTTTTCATTAAATTGTGTTAACATCATCAGATGATTAGTTGATTACTTGATGTGCTTCTCATTAGGATAGGATTTGTTAGCTATTCTCATGTTGATGATGATAATAATGATGCTGATGATTATGATGGTCATCAAAAGGTCATGACCTTATATATATATATACTTTACATAATGGTTTACTGTTTCTGCATCTTTTAATTTGAGTTAAGATGATGGTTAAGATGAATGGATGATGAAAGTAGTGATGATAATGGCTGATAATATACAAAAGAAAGTATTTTCAAGAGTGTGTAGAAAGTAATATGAGATAAATATGAAGATAACATGATATTACCTGAAAATTGAGATGAATGAATGGAAACCATGGTAACCAGAATTCTGGCCAATTTTCAGCTTGACCTTTTTATACAAAAATCGAAACCAAACTCAAGAAAAAAGCATTAAGACAAATCTTTTAATCTACAAATTGTTATCATTTTCATTATAGTTTCTTATCAAGAACTTAAGTGATTAGCTGATTGTTGTAGTATATTAGTAGATTGATTAAATTTTTAAGATTAACGATAAGAAAAGGCCCTTGGGGTTAGTGTTTATCTTTGACGTATTTCCTTTTGTGTTTGTTTCCTTTTCCGATTGTGAGATTTTGTTGATTGGCTAATGATTGTTTTCATTTTACTTTTTACTTGTTTGTCTTTCAAGGTGTTTGTCCAGTTCTATGTAGTGGTCATGGTCGATATCTTGGTGGAAGATGTCATTGTGAGATTGGCTGGAAAGGACCAGAATGTAATATACGTTCATCTGATTGTGAGATTTCAGATTGTAATGGACACGGAAAGTGTACCAATGGTGTTTGCAATTGTCTACCTGGATTCAAGGGTGAAAATTGTGAAATTGCTGATTGTTTGGAACCAAATTGCTCTAAACATGGTGCATGTATCGATGGTACCTGTTGGTGTAAAATGGGCTGGAAGGGTGTTAATTGTTCACAAATTGACCATAGATTGAATAAATTTTTTCCTCATTGTAATTCCCGTGGTGTATATGATTTAGATTCAGAGAAATGCTCGTGTTTCCCTGGATGGTTAGGTGATGATTGTTCAATTGCAAAGTGTAACCTTGACTGTGGTTCTCATGGTCTATGTGAGGGTGGATCATGTGTCTGTGATTCAGGTTGGGAAGGTGCCAATTGTGAAAGGCTTTCATGTGATGTAAGATGCCTTGAACATGGACAATGTTCAAATGGTACCTGTGTTTGTGTCGATGGCTGGATGGGTAAACATTGTACCTTTAACGGGTGTGCAAATGGTTGCTCAAATCATGGAATATGTGCCAAAGGTAAGATCGAAATATTATGATTGACCAAATAATCAAACAATTAAAAAAATAACCTGATCTCTCTTTCTAAATAAAGACAATGATGTAGATCGTGAGTTTACCTGGAGATGTAATTGTAATGAAGGTTGGACAGGTAAAGATTGTTCTCATCCATCGGAGACAAATTGTGCCGATGATGTTGATAATGATCGCGATGGACTAATCGATTGCGCTGATTCTGAATGTTGTTCAACGGAAGAATGTAAAGATTCCCTTATGTGCCTACGATCACCTGATCCATTGGACATTTTACTTCGAAAATCGCCTCCTTCGGTTACAGCTTCTTTCTATCAGAAGATGAAATTTCTAATTGAAGAAGGTTCCGTTCAAAGTTACGCTCATCGAGACGATTATTCCGAAAGGTAAGTTTGATAAAACAATTTCGATAATGATTCATAATTCTCATAAATATAAATACACACACACACATAAACCACACTAATCAATCAAATCATTAAACAATTACATGTTTACACTTATTATATGTTAACAAAAACATTTCCAATTCTAATATCACATTTTTCATGTTACTTTGATTTGACGAAAATTTGATTTAAATTGTTACATAAGAATATATGTTAACCATTAGAACTTTTTCCTCGACAAAAATGAAATCGAAAACATCAAATTGAACCCAATTTCGAACTCACTAATTTCCCTTAATTGTTTCACAGAAAAAAAAAATTCTATTCCAATATCTATTACAACAATATGAAGCCTCAGAGATTCATATGAAATATAATATCATTTACCAGTAAGAGATTAAATTACAATCAAATTTTGCTAATTTTTATGAGCCATTTTTTAGTTAATTTTAATTGTTATCAATCAAAAAAAAGTAACATTGTATTGTAATTCCCTGATAATGATCACAGTCTCAGAATATTTCAACTGATTAGTTTAAATCACTTTGATTTTCACAAGGTAATAAATTTCTTAATGGGCATTCAGATAATCATCAATTAACTTTATTAGGTTAGTAGTTAAAACTATTATCAGTTTGAATTGTGAGCGCAAAAAAAACAAAATCTGATATAAAATTTTGATTCTCTCATTAAATTGATAATATAAAACCTCAATTAAACCTTCAAGTTGAAAATGTTAAGTCATGGTGGTTACACCGTTAATTTAAATGGTTGATCTCAGTTGATTCATTAACTGAATTTGTATTTCCCTTGTGGTGATAATATAATCATGGAAAAGAGGAGAAATATTTTTTTTCCCTGCATTTTCATCAAAATCAGCTCAGAATTTTGTCAACCATAAAAGTATTCATATCAGAACTTTTTTTTTTGCTCTCTTTCTTTTTTCAATGATAATAGTTTTACCATGTGAGGAGAGAAAAGCCCATTAAAATATTCAATTAGTTTTTTTCTCTGATGAAATAAGCTGGAAACTTTTATTCGTTTCTTAGGTTTTTTTTTGTTCTTTTTGTCGAATCTTTTTTTATTCTCCCTCTCATTCTGCAACCTTATATACACACTTTCCATATATGTGCCTCATCTTCCCATCTCCTTTGTATCTTCCTCTAAATGTTAACCATCATCATCATCATCATCATCACCATGAATCCTTTTTCCATTTTTTCCTTCTCATTTTTCCATTCGAATCACCAAAAACTTTCCTCCCTCTTTCTTATATGTTGAAACATTTCCATATCCCTCCCAGTCATCATCAACTCTCTATCTCTCTCATTCCATCATCACCATGACTCTTTCTCTTATCCTCAACACCCTCTGAATCTATTGATATATATTTTTCTCACTTATTCATCTTTTTCTCCCTGATAATCATCATCGAACACAATTTCATCCACTCTAAACCACCCCCATATCCTTGCCTGTCACCTTATATAATAACATCTTCATATAAATATATATGTAATTTATTTCTCTCCCATTCTAATATACATAATATTATGTGTGGAAATCCTTTTATTCATCCTCATCCTCCTCTTTTAAGCTCCCCCTCAGTCTTTTGGATTACAAAATCATCTCTCTTTCTTTCTCTCTCTCTTTATCCATTGAGAAAATTTTTATTGATAACTTTTCATTCACATTTCAACTTCCTCTTCCTCCAACTCCTCCCATGATTTTCATTCAACAGAATAGTCAGAAAAATAACAAAATTCTGAGTAATAAAACACTCAACAAAATCTTGAACCTCTCATAATATCTTCATGCGATATAATAACTCTCTCTCTTTCTGAACTTTTCAGTTCCCTGAGTAAATTTCATCACCTTTTCTTAATCTTTATACTTTGCAACTTTCCTTCACCTTCCCTGTTAGTGTTAGTGTTATCATAATCATTTCTCTCTATGATATTAGTAAAAGAAATATAAAAAAAATGCTTGATTGATGTAATTAAAACGAAACCTCATTACCATAAAAATAGATTAGATTAAATTTAATTACCATGAAACGAAAACTAAAAGTTAATCCCATCTCATTTTCGAAATCTTTTGTTCTAATGATTACGATAGTTGGAATTTTATCTTTTTTTCAGTCAAGTTCAAAAGGTTAGAACTCGAACTCTAATTTAGTTTTCCAATTTATTCATTCTGCTCATTTACTATTTTCGAATTTCGGTATTTTCCCCCCTCTCTTTTCGAGACATAATCAGGTAAATTAGGAAAGAATTCAGGATTATCATCATGACATCTACATGAAATTCAATCCTGTTTATCATAACTTAATCAATCCCTTCTCTCTCTCTTCCTTTTTCTTTCTTTTTTTCCTTCTTCTTCATCATTCTCATGATTCTCTATGTTCTAATAACTAATAACATGAACATAATGTCCAGTCAATTTTGGAGTGCATTTAGCCAAAGGTGAGTATGTGGTCCTAAAACAAAGTCGAGTTATCATTTGGCTGAATATTTATATTTGATTAGTATTGTGAATGCAAATGAGAAACATGTTAATGAAGATAAAATAATTACATTTGTTCATCGAACAAATTTTTCTCATTCTTCCTTATTTCCTATTCCATCAACTCCTCGTTTTTTTGTATCATTGTTACTTTATTTATCTCTCCTCTCTCTCTCTCTCTCTCATTCTTTCTCTCTCTTTCTCTTTCTCTCTCGATCTCTAATTCTTTCTTTCAATGAGTTGTCATCCCTTAGGGCTAATACATAATCAATGAGATGATAAAAGTTGGGAGTTGGTAAAAAACGCGAAAGATAATAAAAGATGATTGAGCTAGTTTTCTTTTCTATTTTTTTTGTTCTATTCTCGATTCATCTCACTTTCGATTATATTCACAAGATCTAAAATTCGAATCTTGATTATCATTGTTAATCAGTGAAAGATGTCGAAGATACATCATGAAAAATCATTCGAGATTCGAGAAGATAAAACTTGTAATCTCAACTTTTTCTTTCTAATCTTTTCGATTGAACTTTGTCATTTACTTTGTCGTGGACATTTTATCATGAAGAGTAAAAGATTCATCTTATTTTCTCAGGAACAAAAGTTCTGTCTCATTTTCAGGTCTCTCAAGATGATTTTATTTACTTTTAAATGTTAGAACTTTTTTTTCACTCTTCCACCTTAGAAAAACAAAACTCCCATGAGAATCATCATGATAGAAATGAATGAAATTCCAACTCAGAGTAAAAAAAGAGAAGAAGAAAAAAAATAAAATGATTGAGGTTCAAACGATGAACACATGATAAAGAATAGAAAAGCTCAAGGAGTTTTTTTTCCATCATTTATCCTGTTAGAACTTTTCTCCATTTCTCTCTTTCGAATATTATTATTACTACCTAATTCGAATAAACATTTTCCAGGGTGAGTTCTTTTTCTCTCCTACTCACTCTATTAACTTATTACTCTCTTTTCATTATCATTTTTGTAATAGTTTTTCTCTTCCTTCTCATTTTAAGCAATAGAAACAAAAGCAACGATAATAATAAAGGAAATGAGAAAAAGTTCATTTTCGAAAAGAAGAAGAATAAAAAAGAGAAAAAACCTTTTTAGAACTTTCAATTTAAAGATTATTGACTTTATTGTATAACTTTTTTCTTCTCTCAGTTTTGTTCAACTGTCATCATAATGTTCATCTTGATTTTCATCATCATCATGTTTCCCCTGATTCTCTTGCTGAACATAAGGTTATCATGCATTAAGAATCAAACTTTGAATTCTTTAGTTTTTATTTTCCCCTGTAAAAGTTTACCTTTGGTAAATTGAATATGCCGTTAGCATGTTATTCAGATTTTATCTCTTTCATCTTGTACCAAATTTCAGAACTGGATTAATTCAATAAGGGAGAGGAAACTGTTTCAGTTCACGAAAATTTATGATAACTTTTGAGATTCAGTTCTGATTCATTTATTTCTTTACCATGAAATCTGATTAATTTTCCTCTTTATTTATCTCTCGTACTATCGTAGTTTTTTTTCTCTTCTTGCTTCAACTTGACTGATTCTGATGATTCATTAATTTTTATTCAACTTCCTTATCCACATCATGTTTCAATCTTCATGTTTATAATAATCATCCTGTTTATATGTTTCATTGAAAATTTCATGATGAGTTATGTGTGTATTTATCCATTGAATGTGACTACCTTGAAGCTATTGAATAAAGAGTATATCAATCAAGATGGAGAGAAAAAAAATTTCCAACATGATTGAGATAACTTTGCACCCTCAGGCCATGAAACTTACCTTTTTTTCAGTTTTCAAGACTGAAATTTTCTCCACCCTTCAGTTATATCTACTATCGACATATTGAACCTTCAATTGAACCTCCATATCATGAATCATTTCAACTTAGACTCTCTCTCTCTCTCTCTCTCTTCATCTCTTCATCTCTTCATTTGAACAAGTTACTACCAAGTTAATCATTATATTTGATAGTTGTTGTGTTTACCTTTCCAGGTAAATGAAGGCACAAGTACACTTACCTGGTTAGTGAGCTATTTTATCATCTTGCCTTTGTTACAATCAATAGATAGTTGGAGGTAATGATGATAAAATTTAAACTCGATATTGTAAATATTGAACAATCAATTTTGTGGCATTGAAAATGGAACTTGAATCAAGCTGAAAATAACTTGAAGTGTATATGTTTAGTTGTTGATAGTGATTCTCATTTGTATTTTGTTTAAATGTTGAGATTATATTATTAGATTTAATTGTTTCCAATTTGTGAACATGAGAAACATTCAATTTCATTCATCAACATTTTCGCCTGACATTCTGCTTGGATAATAACATTCCCTTCAAAATGTCAAACAAGAAGATGGAAGAAGATGGAAAAAGATGAAGTAACAATAAGGATGAGTAGGCGGTGGATGAGAAAGACGATGAATATATGATGATGGTGATGATGATGATAAGTGTAGAGTAGAAAGGTAGAGATGAGGATGATGTGTTTGTGGAAGAGAGTAGAATGTTTGTTAAGAGAGTGAAGAAAAAAATCTAAATGATGAAAGAAAAAAAAGGAAACAAATGACAAGTCTGAAAGAGAAAAAATAAGAAAATTCGATCATTTTCATCCTCTCATCTCATTCTTTTTCCTCTTCCCATGATGATGATTCTGAATTCGGAAATTTTTTCAACTATTCCATGTTTGAAAGTCCAAAGTGTATTTAGATATTCATGTTAACTGTAACTGAATGAGAAATTGATCCTTTGAGGAATGAAATGATTTTCATCCATACACAGAGAGAGAGAAAAATACTGAGAATCTATCGATTTCTATCATGATTTTATATTCCATTTTCTCTCGCTCTCTTCTCCTTCCACCTCCATCATGTACACACATACACACACCCACCTTCATCTTACCTCTTCTTTTTTGACACTTTCTTCAGGTCTCAAGTTGATTGCTTTTCTGTTCTGAAGAGGAAGAAAAAAAACTTTTGTGGTTCTAATCTAATGTTACCCATGTTACTTGTTATAGTTGATGTTTCATTTTTCTTGCAGATGAAGCAACATTTTTTTACCCTGTTACCTTAACACTCACTTTTCACCAACTCTTTTTTCCTCATCTGATAACAATCATCATGATGATGATCATGGTGCTTGAACACTCACTCTGATTTACATTTCAATCGTTTATATTGTGAATATAAATCAACTTTTCTTTTTGTTCCCTCAACCTTAATACTCACAACTAATTGATTCTGTATTGGTCATTCTCTCATTATCAATTCTATCTCAACAAAATAAGAAGCTTGGAACTTTTCTGAACACTTTTTTTTTCTCTTCTTCATTCTCTTGTAAATGTCTTGGTACAAGTGTGTCACAAATGATTGATTGGAATTGAACTTTTTTCTTCTATTCTTTTTTTTCCAATTTCCATCATGAACATTTTCTCCAATATGTCTATTCTCTCATGAAGAAGGAATAGCAAAAAACATAACAACTATCGACAAGATTCTGATAACCTCATCATCTTTTCATCAATATTGCAGAGAAAGAAGAGAAAAGTTTCAAATTTTTTGAAATTTTCCATGGAAATTTGCTTCAACCAACTGAACTTCATGATCCAATTTAACCTTTGATATGGAAACTAATCACACCCTCAGGCAAATTATTTGATAATTGATTAAATTCACCATAACAAATGATTCCATTTCGCTTGTAATATGTGTTACACTTAAATCAATTTATTGTCAATTTGTAATAAGAAACAATTTCACTTTAATCATATCGAAGGATAAATATTCTCTCTCTCTCTCTCTCTCTCTCTCTCTCTCTCTCTACAACCTTTTCCATTGATGAAATTAACTCTCATCTCACTGATCATCCACTCTAATTGTATCAGCGATAAATTATGTTAATCTAATCTCTTATTGTGCCTCATAAATGTGATTTACTGTTAAACTAAATTAATATTTTCACTACCGAAAACCTAATAGTATCTAATATAAGATATAATAATAATGAGCTTTTCTACATGAAAATTGGAAAACATTTTCACCATCCTATTAATATTTATCCTTTGTAAGCTTGATTATCTTGATAATTTATTTTAATTGTTGCAATTATCATAAGTAACAAGTAAACATTAATCTAAACATTTGAATTAAATTATCAATGAATGTCAAGTAACTATCTAACCCGTTGACATTTTATCCTCTCTAAAAATAACAACTCGAGATGATGAAAATTGCCACCATGATATTAGCATTATAATAAATGAGATCAACTAATTACAATTATTTTTAATTGTTCTCCTCTTTCTATCATTTATTACCTGTGAACTAATGCCCTTTAATCATGATGAATGTTTCTATTTCCTTGATGGATTAAAAATCTTACATTCACTGAATCTGAATGTAAAACATATTATCACTTGAAGGAAAAAGATAATGATTGAGTTTTCAACAATTAAGAACTTTAATCTTCTATTATAAACATTAACAAGGAACAAGATTTAATCTTTTCATTCATTTAGTTATTTTTTTGTTCTCTATTCATGATTATCAAGTTGCATGATTCCAATATTCTGATTACTATGATTATGTTAACTGTATTATCGTTGAAAATGATATAATATTTACACGAAAAATCAGTTAAACCTGTGAAAATGGTCTAATTATGTTGATTCATGTATATTCATCATGTGACTGATTGTATTATGATTACCATTAACTACCCAACCTTTTATTGGCAATTTAATGAATTAATGATTATATTATGCTAAATAATAGTCTCATGAATATATATATATCTGAAAAAAGAGCTCAAATTTTGTCATGATTAACCTGCTAATATTGATGAATGAACCAGCAAATATTAGCTGATTAATATTGTAATGATAATTATCAGCAACATTTTTATCATAATAATTGATTAGTTTATTGATTAAATTT